CGGCATATTCATGCGGATCAATACCACGGATGAGACAAAATACATGCCCATTATCTGCGCCAAAGCCAACACTATTATGTTGGATGACTTGGACGATGAGATCGCGTAGAAGAACTGCAATTATATCGCAAATGATTTAATGATTATGACAATGGCTCATTTCTAGTATGTAATCGTATTTTAAAGGTTTTAATAGATATTCAAATTCAATGCATAATTAGTGGTAGAATCACGATTAACAGGTTAAGTAATGTTAAGTTAGGTAGTATGAGATGTTAGGTTAGGTTATGTTATAGACTACTAAACTGACTACTAAGTGATTTTGATACTAAATTTAGAATTACACAATAGTAGAAAGTCTATTAAAATTAATATAGTTTTGATTGAACATAACATTGACATAAATAATCAATAAGCAATTAAATAAAGCAATTAAGTGAAATAAGTTATAATAAATGTGCGCTTACTTTGGTGAGTGTGATAAGTAAACCCCGGATCGAAGTGATGACAATAATGCCCACTAATATGAATGAGATGTGTTGGGACCAGAACCTGACGTCCACCTGAAGACCCACCCAATTGACGGCAATTTGTAGACCGCGGGTCACGGGATCTACTTTTCCCACCCTATCGAACACTATGTTAACCGTACACTACATATGAAATGCAAATAAATTAATTATTAAACACAATGATCAACGAAATACACTCAAATGTAGCCATAATTAACTTAATAAACCATAAAAATTGTTTCGCTAAACGATAACATAGTTTTTAAATTACTTAATAAATCCAATCTCTAGTGCTTAAGAAATGGTTGATTATAACGACATTCAGTGTGCGATAAACAAAACAAAACAATGGATTCGTACGATAAATATCTTCCAAATACAGTACATCGAGAAGAAGTATCCGAGAAAATTGAAATATTTTCCTTTCAGAGTCTTCGACCACACGATCCGCTCCTCCATTGTCTTCAATTCGACGAACTCGAGGAACAGCTGCCGGGAGAGCTCCTCCAGCGTCCGGCACTCCTGCTTCAGTTGCGACACGTCGTGGCCCTGGAGTGAGACACTCTTGAGCATCGACCAGATGCTGGACACCGGCGACGACACCGACTTCCTTTCGTTCTCCTTCTCGATCATCGCTATCCTCTTCTTCTTCATGGCGATGATGTCCAGCGTTTGCAACAGTTTTCGCTCCAGAGATGACACGTCGGCGGGAGTGACGGCGCGCATGAAACAGGCCATCGATGTGTACGGATACATAACGGCACCGAAACCCGACAACAGGGCCATCAGTGTGACCCCTATGACCCCCACGCGGCTGATGCCCTGTTCAATGGACAGTATGCCGTGTTTGGGGCTTAAGATGGGAAAGGGATCGCCGATCTTCCAGAATAAGTATATGAAAAGCAGCCAAACGGCGGCCGCCAATGGCTTTATGAAGTGCCGGCGAATGAACCGGAGGTTTGCGATCAGGAAATACCCGATATTGAAGGGCAGTATCACTATTAGCATGAATAGCATGGCGTATATACCGATCTTCCAGTGCAGGTAACGGGAACTGGAGGTCAGAGTCAAACAAATAAACATTTAGAAGGTATTTGAGAGACACGAGGGATGGGATTGTGGTGCGGATCGGGTGACAGACAACGGGAGGGGAGGGGAGTGGTAGCGAAGACACAGACCTGGTGTCCAAAATGCCGACGATTTCAAAGATGATTAACTCAAACATAGAGCACGAGAGCGAAAACGTGACACAAAACTGGATCTGAACGAAGAGGTGATGGATCTAATGGTCGGCGGATGAGAGACACAGACAAACACATTAAGCAATCATCAGTTGGTGTGAAGACATTGGTGGCAGAAGTGAGCCATCGTTGTCTGAATGCATACCTCGTAGTCGCGAAACAGTTGCTTCACGAAGAATAGCCATCCGATGCAGAAGAATAAGATCTGTGGTACGAAAACGAGACAATTAGTCGGGGGTTCACTTTCGGGGGGTTTTCTTCAGGGGGTGGTGTTTGCAGACCTGAGTGATGAACACAACCAAAGTGTCGACTATTATAAAACCCATTGATATGTCATTGGATGTCGTTTGGCCACAAGAGGTATCCGATGAGATAATAGTGTATATTATATGCAAATATGGTGTGAAAAGCACTGATTATGAGTTATAATTACAAAAATACTAATTTTAAGTTTAAAATACAATATTTATAATTAAAAAAAACTTTGCGTTAAATAAATAAAACTTTGTTTTTCATTGAGCTTTGAGTGGAAAATAACATTCAAATGATTGAAGCGTTTATGAAGTGTTGATATTTGTGTGCATATTGTGTGTGTTTTATGTCCACTAAATCACAACAACACGTGCGCTGTCTATGGCATCGGACTATGCGATCGACGCTTATAAGCGAAACAACACGTGTTTTAACCGCAAGTATTGTCCACAGGATTGCAATTCATATGCAATCGTGTAGTGAATTGAGTGAACATTTCGTGTGTTTATGTCTATCGATATCATAACCAAAACAATGACATCACCGCACAGTCCGCGCACACATTACGTGCACTTATTTTTGTTGGTTGAACTTGGATGAGGTGAAAGTTTATTAGTGGCAAATGTATTAGAACTGTCAATTTGCAATGACCCTGGTACACAAATTTATTTTCTAGGCAGTATTGTGTTTAAAAGTATAATTATATTTAAAATAAATTTATTAGCTCACTATGATACGTAAATAGGTAATATAAAGTTTCAAACTTTTAATTGAAATTGTTTTAATCATATTTATGTTAATCATAACATTTAGGAATCTAAACTATTACTGTAACTTAAATAACGATTAAGCATAGATTCCCAAATATTTGATATGATACTAGAGCTTGGTTATTTTCACGCGTGATTTGCCGTAGATTTAGCATTAGGTAACATTTGAAAACATTGACGGAGCGAAGGGGGAGGGGATCAGAGAGTATGCAACTCTAGTCTGTGCTCTAATGGATGGAAGTGCTGCTGAAACTGGCTATAGGTATGAGTTATTGAACTTAAAGCCAAAGCCTGTTGTTGTGTAACAATCGGTGTTTGGCTTCGTATGTGAGTTAATAAGACATTAAAGTACTGACAAAGACATGCAATGAGTGAATATAAATGCCGTAAATTGTGCGATAATTATGTAATACATGAATGCTTATTAGCAATCAAAACGTTGCCATCGATTGATGCGAAAGTTTTTTGTGTGTAAGAGATATATAGATATTAAGCAGTCGTTGGGACAACACATCCACTGCTTGGATACCAAATGTTTCGCTCAGTTTTTTTGGTTGTCTTTCTCGTAGAGTTTAGTGAATATGAGTGAAAACTTCTGCCATTTATCGTCACTTTTTGTGGTCATTAGATGTGTTCAATAAGTTATGATTAAGTCTCACGACTCGCCGTTTCATCACTTGTTTGACACTTTCGAAGTGATCGGAAGGTTTGCCAAAAGACTTTACTTTGTATTGTATCTTATAATTTGCATAATAAGTGTTAACTCACTTGTTACTGATGCCCGGCTACGAGCAACAATTTGCGCTTGTCCATGCTATTTTTTGTTTACTATTTTGCAACTATATTTAATTTTCAAAAAGATATAACACTAGTATTTGATATTTTATTATAAATTATTTATGAATTTTATTTAAGAAAACTTATTCACTTAATTTAATGTTAGAACTAACTTATTACGATAAATTACATAAATTAGCATGGTCATTGTATATTCATTGAACATTCAACATCTCTAACATGATTTTCTAGTATTTAATAATTTAAATTTTTAATAATTAATAATTTTTAATAATTTAAACTTATTATGATCCATATTAGTATCAGTGTTTTATTAAATATATAATATTCTGATTCTTATTAAGTGATTAAAATTCTTTAATTAATTTTTAAAAATACATATAAATTAAAATCTATATTACTTGAAATAAATTTTTATATGGTTAAATGAAAACAATTAACTATAATTTAAGTGAATTTTAATTGCGAAGAAACAAATGGTCTGATTATGTACTGTATTATGTAATTATGTGTTACACTTTTGATACATTTCTTTATACCCCATAAAATTTTACTTAAACTTTCAATTCATTTAATATTAATTCCCTTTTGTAAGTCTCATAAAAGTTTTATAAGTTTTATTTAAAACATATTTTTAAAACGAGGAAATAATTGCATTCAATTGTATTGTATTATAGTTTTAACAGTTGGATATCTTAATACGATCTTTAACTACAGTTAACAATACAAATAATTTTAACATTCATTAAATCATAGCTTATCATAGCTTAGGCTCTCTCTCTCTCTCTCTCTCTATTATATCTTATATCTCCTTCCATGTATTGTTAATAATAAGTAGCGGATACACAAAAAGTTAAAAACTGAATAAATATGATATGAAGTAATTAAGTGAATGAATTCATGATAAACTGTGGGCTAACACAAGGTATCCGCAAATGATTGTCCCAAATGTTTGTTTCATGAAAAACAATACAATGCAAACAGACGTGAATCTTAATGTGTCAAGTAAAAGTTCATACAAAAAATATATATAATTTAGCCACTAACCCTCCTAATAAATCAAAAAGTTTATTTTTCGATAAATATTTTGAAAGAATTTAAATTTTTATAAGTATATTAAAATTAAGAATTTTAATGCAAATAGTTTATTATTTATTTTTCAAGAGTACCCCGGATTACGAAATGTGTGGGCTTAATTGAGTTACATTATCAGATGTTGCATTGCCGTTGCAAACCTTGTTTTATAAATAAAATCATGAGAATGTTCACGAATAAGCTTATTTATTTATTTAAGTCATATCATATTAATTAAGTTTTATTATCAGCTTGAATTATTCTTACAGAATTTAGGTTAAATTTATATATATTTATATCGTAAAACAATAGGAAATTTATATCATTTCAATTATAATAATTACAATTACAATTATAAAAATTTGATATTCAAAATACATTTATTTGAATGAATAATTTTGATGAGAAAATTATATAAAGTCCGTGCAATGGGTGCTAATATTTACGGTATATTTTTAGCGGAAAGTTTGCAACAGTCAGGCGGTGTGTGGAGAGACAGACGGGCAATGAATTCGCGGCCAAATTCATACGCAAACGGAGTTCCACCGGACGAATGGGACAGGCATTGGAGGACATCAACAGAGAGATCGACTTATTGAGAGAAATCGATAACAATTATATCATTAAATTACACGATGTGTTTGATTGTGGAAATGAAATGATCATTGTTTTGGAATTGTAAGTACCTATGACCTGGGTTATATGCATTCAAACGATAAAACAAAATAAGAAAAAGTTTTGAAAGTTTAGGACATTTTATCAAAAAATAGTAAAATAAGTAGAATTTTAATTTAAAATTATTGATTGGTGAGCAAATATTTTGTGCAAATATTGATATATTCTTAACTTAATGTCATTCATGTTTGCGTGATATTTAAAATGTCTTATTTATCTACTTTTGTAAAACATTTTTAAAACGCTTACCCTTGAAGGTAATGACACGAAACTCTTAATTTTGATGATTTATTGTAATTAATTGAAATTATATTCAATATTCAAAATTTTTCTTATTTGTATATTCAATATTTATTATTTATCGTATGTGCCGGCTCACCTTAAAGGGTTGTTCAGGAATTAAATAACTTTCCTAAAATAATATTTGGCACCTCATAATATTTAGCAGATAATACCATTTATCATAATTATAATTAATAAATTATAGGATTATTAAATAGCACATCTGATAATCCAAAATAAAGCTCATATTACCCTATTATTTAAAACTTTCTATTTGTTTTTCTTAAACATGTTATAACTTATAACAGAAAATAGAAACTTAATATTTAGAGAAATCGATAACAATTATATCATTAAATTACACGATGTGTTTGATTGTGGAAATGAAATGATCATTGTTTTGGAATTGTAAGTACCTATGACCTGGGTTATATGCATTCAAACGATAAAACAAATTAAGAAAATGTTTTGAAAGTTTAGTTAATTTTATCAAAAATAGTAAAATAAGTAGAATTTTAATTTGAAATTATTGATTGGTGAGCAAATATTTTGTGCAAATATTGATATATTCTTTACTTAATGTCATTCATGTTTGCGTGATATTAAAAATGTCTTATTTATCTATTTTTGTAAAACATTTTTAAAACGCTTACCCTTGAAGGTAATGACACGAAACTCTTAATTTTGATGATTTATTTATTGTAATTAATTGAAATTATATTCAATATTCAAATTTTATTATTTTTTTATATTCAATATTTATTATTTATCGTATGTGCCGGCTCACCTTAAAGGGTTGTTCAGGAATTAAATAACTTTCCTAAAATAATATTTGGCACCTCATAATATTAAGCAGATAATACCATTTATCATAATTATAATTAATAAATTAATATCCTAATAATTTATCGTGTAGACTATTAGGTTTTATTTCGAGTATAATGGGATAATAAATTTTGAAAGATAAACAAAAAGAATTTGTACAATATTGAATATTGTCTTTTATCTTTGAATTATAACTTTGTAAGCCTTTAATACAAAATAAATAAACTGTAATCATAGTTAAAATATGAGTTTGGTTTTTATTGAACAAAAATTATAGATAACACTAATTAATTGCTTGAATCGCAAGGGTTTGAAACAAATTAATTGATTTCTAGAGTGAAAGGCGGAGAACTATTTGAGTTAATATCGGAAAAGGGATGTCTGGCCGAAGAGGAAGCCGTGCATTACATGAAACAGATTCTGATGGCTATCAAGCATTTACACGACAGGAATATCGTTCACTTGGATCTGAAGCCCGAGAATATTCTGCTGAGCGATAAGACCGCCAAACGAATCAAATTAATTGATTTCGGAATTTCGCGCAAAATCGTCAACGATTTGGATGTCAAAGGACTTTACGGGACCCCGGAATTTGTCGGTAATATAGCTATGAGTTTGTAAAACTAGTGTAGGATTTGTTTTTGAGAGACTAATTATTAAATTGATGTTACGAACCAGGAATCTTAAAATTTATAATTGCAATATTCATTATTTTAAATATTATGAATTGTTATGTTTTAAAAATATGCCTAGAGCAATATGCAAAATAGCATAAATTATATGCATAAATAGTATAATTTACAATGATTTTATTTTTATAATTTATATAAAATTATAGATAATTTATTTGATAAAAATATAAAAATCTTTATTAAAATTGTTACAAAAATTAACTACAATGTATAGTAAAAATAATTTTAATTTTCATACAATTTACAGCTCCGGAGATAATAAATTACGAATCGGTGAATACGGGAACAGACATGTGGGCCATCGGTTGTATGGCTTATATTTTGTGAGTTATATTATATAATAATTAAAAATAAGACTTATGTCCAGCATTTGATTCACTAGACTGAGCGGTGCCTCACCATTCCTGGGCGACACTAAACAGCAAACTTTTGTTAACATAACGGCCGCTGATTATCATTTCGATGACCAATACTTTGCTAATATTAGTAACGCAGCCAAAGATTTCATATCAGGACTATTAGTGAAAAATTCAAAGTATTTTACTAACTATTCAATTTGACATACATATTAATTAGTATTAATTGTTAATTTTAATATTATAGAAAGCGATATTCAGTTAATCAGTGTCTAAATCACGAGTGGATACGAGCGCATGAATGCCAGACTATATCAACCACTCAAATGGACAGTCAATTGATTAATAGTGATCTCATAATTGATGCAAAGATGCGACTGAAATGGAGGGTCAGTTTAATTGCAATCTTACGCTGGAATATGACATTTGAATAATTGTGAAAATTATATCTCATTTAGAGAGCCATTCGTTCGGTTATTATTTGTTACCAATTATGGAAAGCATTTAAAAAGAGATTGCATTCAAATGATATGGAGTCACCGGTAAATGGATTGCAATCAGCTTTTCTTGAGGTTTGTTTTTTACACTCAATTTTGCTACATATATGCGATTATAATTTCGACTGGATACAACTACCCCCACCTGTATCCACCCCACATTAATTACTAAAGTTATCTGTTTGACTAATTTATCAAATAAATGTAAGCCTACGGGGAAAATGTCTAGAAAAATATTAGAGGGGTAAGAGGGTGGTTGGTTTCTGGTGATCCAAAACTAAACCATATTTATTA